GCATTAACAGGGACACCATCCATCGCAACATGGCACTGTTAATACTCTGATATTTTGAAGCTGTTGATGGAATCAGCCTCTCTGAGAGCTACCACAGAGTTCGGGAAACCTTACTACCAGCCGGCCTCAGAACCATTAAACTGAGTTTTAGAGCTGTACCCTCATATGGAAATAACAGGAAGAGTTGCATAGCCATTATCAAGGAGGCATAAGCAAAATTCTATGAGTAGAGTCAAGGAGATCCAGCATTCATCATCCTAGGCAGGAAAAAATGTAACACAGGTTACATCTACGCCAGCCTAATAGATAAAGAAGGGGTTCGAGGCTGGTTAGCAGAATTTTTCTGCTTACCCCTAAAGTCTTTGCCTAGGAGGCCTTCTACAAGACAGTAGCAGGATGCAGTTAACATCTGCCCAAGATGAGTATTTTTATCGAGACACCATCTCTAGCCTTTACTCAACCAAGAGCCCCAAGGCAGGGGAATTTTTAGTCGGAGTTTATTTCTCCTAGCCTTTGCATAAGAAGAGCACACTCTGCAAGGCAGCAGGGCTTGTGGCAGGTGGTACTGGGTTACGTGATACCAGTAGCAAGATTGATCTCGATTATCCTGACCTGACCTGGAGTAGTTAAAAGGAGCTACTTCCCGCAACAGTACTTTGAGAAAACCAGGCATGACATTTTGGAAGTGCATTAGGAAAAACACTGCATCTAACAAAATTCAGGAGTCTAAGGTGGGTGTACGTTTTGTAGTTGGAGTAAGTAGTTAGTTACTGAGCTCACGCTGCATTAGAGTATAAACAGAACACAAACAAACACAAATCAACTTACGGGTGAGTCAACACCGCGCCAGAGGTTCAGACAGAACACAAACATACATAAAAAACATAAAGTAACTTACGGGTGAGCGAACACCGCGCCAGAGGTTCAGACAGAACACAAACATACATAAAAAAACATAAAAAACATAAACATAAACATAAAGTAACTTACGGGTGAGCGAACACCGCGCCAGAGGTTCAGTTCATATATATATATATATATATATATATATATATATATATATATATATATATATATATATATATATATATATATATATATATATATATATATATATATATATATATATATATATATATATATATATATATTGTTGTTTATTATTGTATCTGGTTGAGATACAAATCCTCTTGTTTACTTGAGAGTGATCAATATAATGTAAAAATAATTTTTACAAAATAGATCCAATATATAGGCATGAAACTTTTAGTTCCATTATAAAGTTATATTTTTCTATTTAATTACACTTTATATATATATATATATATATATATATATATATATATATATATATATATATATATATATATATATATATATATATATATATATATATATATATATATATATATATATATATATATATATATATATATATATATATATATATATATATATATATATATATATATATATAGCCGAAGTAAACACAATATATATATGTGTGTTTCTAAGGTTGAAAACGCTTGATCATTGAAAAAAAAAATCATATTTTTGTTGATTATGGTTTGATATTTTAATAATCACGGAAGAATTTAATTAACACAGGTCAGAAATTCAAGGTTTAAGTTTACTATCGGAGTACCCCAAAAATGTTAATATATATAGTAAGTGGGGCATCTGGACACTTCATTTTCATATTTAGAAAAATCTGGGAGGTATCACATTTTAGAAAATTGATAGTAAAAATCTGCTTAAAATTTTTCGTATTTAAAAAAACTAAATATACTGACCGAAAGTTTAAGCTTATTAAAAAATATATTCATACCCCAACTTTTCAAGATCTTTAATATAATATTTATACATAAATATCACTAATATACTCACAGTCCAAAAAAAAAAAATTTGTAATAAAAATATTGATTTTTGATTATGCTTTTTTATTTTATAACAAATACCTATACCTATATTATAATATCAACCCTCGAAATTAGGGTCGGCATTTGGCAATGCCAATCTAATTGCCGACCTTAAAGTGTTTGAGGTTGGCAACAAATTGCCGACCTCGTTTCTATGTTTTATTGCAAGACCTTTGTATCAAATTTTATTTTTATTTTTAAAAGATTCAAGTCAACAAATAATTGAATTTCACCTTCTGATCGAATTTGTTAACCATGTGGCAGAATTTAAAATGCAGCTTTAGTCTGGATTTATAGATTAGGTCAAGAGAACTCAAAAAGTTTACCAAGGAGGGACATTTAAAGGAAACACGTATAGAGAGATACTTAAGAGTTGCGACAAATTTGAGTTGATAATGCCTGTTAAACTGTATCCTCTCTTGGAAACAATGAGAAAGTTTAATAAGATTGTTCATGGTGTCTTTGGCTATAAACTTGACCAAAACTATTTAAATTTAATTGAAAGTTTTACACAAATTATAAAGTTGGGCAAGGCTTAAACCTATTTATTTGAAACCAAGATATTGATAAACATGATAAGCAGCTCACAGTTACCTGGCAAGTACATGCTGAAACCGCAAATCTGGAAACATTTGTTGATTTGAGTGGTCTTTCCCTTGGGCAGTTTAACGAGTAGACATCTGATACTTGCCATTCTAAGATGAAAAGTGTAATAAACTGGTTTGGATTTTTACAGTATAGTATATACATAATTATAATTTTTTAAAAACACATCAATTGTACATCAAAACATTATTGAAATCTTAAGTTAAAAACATTTGTAAATTCACTCAGAAGACAATAAAAATACATTAGTATAAACAATTTCAAAATATTTTATTTAGTATTTATTATACTACTATTGTTTATATATTAGGTTGTTAGGCAACTATGCATACAATACTACTATTCTAGTAAACCACTAATATATTATCAATATGTTCTAATTTACTAAACACACTATGTTCACACACACTAAAATGTTCCTAAATTAATTTCAAGCGTATCTAAACTTTTTTCGCCAACATAAAGCAGTCTATAGACTAAAATAAGAATAAAATAAGTTTATATTCCAATTTTGTATGCTTTTTTAATTTTGTGTTTATATATCAACATTAGATCTAATGATGTTGATATATAAACACAAAATTAAAAAAGCATAAAAAATTGGAACATAAACTTATTTTATGTTAACCTTAGTATTCTGTCAGTATATTTAGTTTTTTAAATATGAAAAAAATGAATTTTTAGCTGATTTTTGATGTCAATTTTCTAAAAATGTGATACCTCCCAGATTTTTCTAAATATAAAATGAAGTGTCACTTACTATAATTATAAACATTTTTGGCGTACTCCGATAGTAAACTTAAACCTTAAATTTCTGAGCAGTGTTAAGTTATATAATTTCGCAATAGCAATGTTTGGTCGTATTGATTATGATTAACGTTGGATTTAAAACGTTGGATTTGTTCGTAAAAACAATCAACTTTTTGCGATGTTTTTACATCGAATAAACGTTGATTTATATACATTAATTCAATGTCGAGATATATAAATTAAATCAACGTTGGGTTTAGATCGTAAAAACAATTAAATTTTGAGATGTTTTTACATACATTGGACCAATGTAAATTTGCCAGATGTTTTTAGCTCCGTCGATAATAGTTTTATTATTAACCAAATGACATTGAACCAACGTTGGTTTTGCATTGGAAAAAAAAGCCGACGTTCGCGATGGTTGTACGTTACGTTGGCCCAATGTAAGTGTGCTTAAATTGGCTCTTACGTTGGCCCAATGTAAGTGTGCTAGCTGGAATATATTACTTATATATAACCTATCTATTACCTATCTATTACCTATCTATTATAACGCAACAATATTATACACTTTCACAAAAGAAAAGATTTTAAGAAAACTTTCATAAAACATCAACAAAAAAAAAAAAACATCACCCAGAGAAAAAATTTGTTGCGTATGTATGATGATTGAGACACTTACGTTATTAAGTTGCTCAGGTAATTAGTCCTAATAAGCTGCGGATGGTCTGAAAAAAAAGTTGTCTGAAACTTAAAAAAGAAAAAACTATATTAAATAAATAAGAAAGTCCTGCTACTAGGCACTTCGGTCGATTTTACTATTATCATTATCTCTGGCTATATTTAATATAGCCAGAGATAATGATTGAATATTAAATAAAGACGTTTTCAGAATGAGTTTGTTTTTTAAATTTGGATAACTGGTTCCCAAGTTATGACAATTTATGTTGGGCTCAATAACGCCTATTTTGCGTCCAGATTTGCAGAGTTTTCCTTAGGATTTATAGCACCAAATTTTGTTAATAAATTTATTTTTAAAATGCCATCAATGAGAAAGAGTTTCATTGAAGTACTTATGCTAAATTATCTTTATTGTTTTCTTTTCTAATAAAAAATCAAAGCGTTCTACAAATCATTTTTCTCAGATTAGGGGCCCCTAGGTAAGGATTCCACTGCTCGTTTGTCCCATTTGTGGCAATTGGGTAACCAAAGCTATAAAAGCTTTGATAAAACCGTAAAAATTAACTTTAGTTAAAGAAAAAGAGCTTTTTCAAACTGTCAGAGTGAACAAATTCATTTATATTTATAAATATCAAGAAAATGCGTAAAAATCTCAGGGTTTGTTTCTCCCATTCAGGGCAATTGGGCCAAGAACAATCAAAGCTCTGTAGAAAGAAAAAAAATTAATTTTAGTTAAAAAAAAGAGCTTTTTCAAACTGTCAGAATGAACAAATTTTTATTTATAAATATTATGAAAATTTGTAAAAATATACAGAGCCCGTTTTCCCATTATGGGGCAAATTGGGACAACAGTACAAAAAGCTCTGTTAAAACCGTTAAAAATGAACTTTACTAAAAGAAAAAAAGTTTTTTTTTTTAATTTTCAGAGTGAACGAATTCATTTATATTTATAAATATCAGTAAATATATCAAAAATTTCAGGTCTTTTTTATCCGAATCGAGGCGACTGGGCCGGGAACAATTAAAACTCTGTAAAGTTTTCAGTTAAAGAAAAAGTGCTTTTTCATATTGTCAGAGTAAACAAGTTCATACACATTTATAAAAACCCAAAATATATGTAAGAACCCCACTGCTCGTTTGCCCCATTTGGGACAATTGGGTCAAAGGCAATGAAATTTCTGTAAAAACCAAAAAAAAAAAAAACTTTAGTTAAAGAATGAAAAAACTTTTTTATATTGTAAGAGTAAACAAATTCATATACATTTATAAAAACCCAACAAATATGTAATCCCAATGCTAGTTTGCCCCATTTGGGGCAATTGGGTCAAAGGCAATAAAATCTTTACTTAAAGGATAATCACTGCTGGAAAAAACACAATAATCAAAAAATACACAAATCAAAATTAAGAAAAATACAAAAATGTATTTAAAATCAGCATCCACCATTTCTTCTTGTTTGCATTGCACCACAATCTTACAAGCACTTCATTGTGTTTAAATGTTTCTGTAAGAAAAATGAACAAAAAATTTGATGATCATGCAAAAAAACAAACAAACAAAATCTTTGTTTACATTTAAATAGTAACAATGATAGGTTCATCAACTAATAATACTATAGAAACTTTTAATTGATTCTACCTTTTATAACAAGATCATATCTCCTTTATCAAAGTCAGATAACAGTGGAAATGTATAAATGATTCCAGGTTCTGATTCGTAAATAACATCATATAATGTTTGCTTGATTTTTTTTCCAACTTTACCTATTTTAAGAACATCTGCTTTGCACCAAAAATACTCTTCTTCATCAACTTCTTTTATTTTATGAAGAATAACTCGCCCAACTAAACTAAATGGATCATCTAATAAAGTCGGCAGAAACAGGACTTTTTTTTGTTTTGCAAAATGTGACATTCTAGAATCTTTTAACGTTGTAAACAACTTTTCTTTTTGTTTCTTAATCAAGTCATTGCGTTGGTTTTTTTCTTTTAATGTATTGGTTGTTTTTTCTGGTGGAGGCAAATTGCAATTACCAATGACAGTCAACAGGTTCTCCATTAACTCACCTGAACTTAAATCAACACGTTTATTTCCAGAAACTTTAGTTTTATAAAACAGCTTTAACAAACATTTTGCCCCCATTACATAACGATAAAAATCTAATTGAACTCTAATAACTTGCTTCCTTAAAGTATCATTTTCAATTTTTGAGGATTTATCTTTTGCTTCATCTACTGTTAGCCAAACTTGTGATTTCAATTGAATAAGCTCATTTACAATATTTGCTTTTTTCAGCAATGCCTTCTTTTCTGTATCTGCTTTGAGTTGCTGTTTTACAATCAGAATAGAAGATTTCTTTGATATTAACTCTACTTGATGCTCTTTATACTTTAATTTCATTTTTTCAACACTATTAGAAGCTTTTCCAATTAAAATGTAACGCTCTTCTTCTGATTTCGCATCCAACCAATCTAAGGTTTTGTTTCTGTACCACATTGTATATGCTTGAATTGTTTGTATTTTAGCATTGGGCTTTGCCCGAATAAGTAGATCCAGAATCGCAAAATCACTTTCTGAAGCTTTGTTAGTTGTTGGTACATTTTCAGCAGCCTTTTGAATTCTATCATCTGAGTTCCAATATTTACCTCCTGGGAGCTGATCAATTGCTTGTCTTTCTAGAATTATTAAAAACGCATGGGAAATTATTTCTAATGACTGCTGCACCAAGACATCAAATTCTATATTTCCAGTCTCCTCAAAAAGTTTTTCATAAAGTTTATCTTTATGTATTTTGACCTCTCTTGGATCAAATACAGATGTTTGATTGAGCATTGGAGAAGCGTCTTTGCAAAGATCTGACAATTTCATTTTTAAACAAAATAAAAACTTATTCATACTAAGAATGTTTTTTTTCTTCAATGAGTCTCCAAAGGGGACCAGTAATTAACTTATCAAAAATTTGATATATCTTCATTAACTGCCTTAAATAGATTATTCGGATTTGGCCATTGAGACAAAAACTCTTTAATAGATTCAGAATGATAATACAGTGCAGCACCATTATAAAGCAAAATGTTGAACCTATTGCCTATAAAAGGAGCAAACATACATTTGTCTACACCTTTTCCAATGAGAAAAGAATTAAAATATCCTGCCACACCAAGTTCATTGCTACCTCCGTTATGGAATGCTTTATATGCTTGCAGCCCCCGATTCAAAAGTTTTAAATACAAAAATGTCTTTTTGATCATCACTCAGAGCTATTTTTTCAAATGAACTCAGTACTTTATCTGTCTCAGTTGCAAAGTTTGTTAAAAGGTGTAACTTACAAAAAAGGTTTGACATATCCTTAAATTCATTTTTTTGTTTAATTGTTAAATAATCCCAATGTTCTATAACTTTTGGTAACAATAGCTCCCTCATTTCTTTGAATTTACTATTAAAAAGTGAATTGACAGAACCTAAATCTGACATAGTTGTCTTAAATGAACAAATTAACTTTGCAAAGTCTTTTTCCTTGTCTTTTGTGTCCAGAACATCACAAATATCATCCAATGTTTCTGTTAAAGAACTCAAAGTAGATCCAGCATCACCAGAAGCTAATTCTAATAGCCCAAATGATAGCATTTTACCACTTTTGGAAGTCAACTGAAAGATTTGATAATGTCTGTGATATTTGGTTGTTCCATCCCCATGCAAACAGTTTCCTGTGTCTTTCTCAAAATTATCTAACATTTCTTCTGATACTTGAATCTGTGCAAGAATTTAAGCCTCTGACATAAATCTAGATATTGTATCAACAGAGGGAAGTTTTGAAACTGTTTTTTTTGCAAGTTTCTTTAAAACAATTTTGATGACATCATTGACCTTGTTCATACTGACATTTAATGATAACAGCTCCATAATAACTTCACGAATATCATTTGAATAACGCCCTCTTTCAAAAGTTACAATTTCTTCATTTTCCAACAACTTCAAAAGACCATTTAAATATATGTTTTCTTTGTTTAATGATTCAACTTTTGCACCAAGTTCTTTAACTTCTGACTGCAAGAAAGTAAGGTCTTCAATCGAAGAAGCCGAAATTGATTCCTTTGTTTTATTTAAATTATTTTTCAAACGACATAATTTCTTTTGAAGATTTCTTACTACTTTCTAGCATTTGATTAAGGTCATTGAATTCCTTATTTAAAGTTTGAGATTCGCTTACAAATTGGGTTTTTAATGCATCAATTTCTTTTTCTTGTTTTTCTAGCTTTATATCTCGATACAAAATCTTCTTGTTTAAATTTCGAATTCTGTTTGTTTTATTCTTAAGTTTTAATGTGGTAAATTTTTTTTCTAGAGCTGACAGCCGTTCATTCGTTGTTGTATATAGTGCTTTACACTGTTTGGACTGTCTTACGAATTCTAGTTTCTCTGCATTGCTGGTTTTTATAACTGACTTAAGTTTTTTATTTCCACTTTCAAGATTATTTAGCTGTTTATAGCAGTTTTTATAATTTTCTTTTAAATTGTCAACAGCTTCAACTTTGCGTTTTAAAGTTTTATTTTCGATTTTAAGATGGTCTAGGTCTTTTACGAGATTTTTTTCTTTTTTAGGTGATGTTGATAGTAAAAATGTTTGAATATTTGTTTCAGATATTGGTGGTATAAAATTTAAAAGCATAAATTCTTCTTTACTTTTTTTAGTCAACAACCTACTTTTCTGAATAACTCTTTTTATTTTCGAAAACAAACTAAGGTCATTATCAGTAATTTGAAAGTTGGAAGAAAATCGTTGTCTAAAAACTGTGCACACATTGGATAAGTTTTTTTCTTCTAAACTTTGATACCATAAATACAAATCTCTATTCTGCATTTTAAACAGCTAGATATAAAAAAGTATTAAAAATAAAAGTTACGTAAATAAACGCTCTCTATAGATGCAGGTTGAACGGAGTACGCATAATGGCGTCAACAAACATCGAAAAAAAATAATGAAAAGTGTTTTTAAGATTGTAAAGTCCAGACATAAAAAACAAATTATTATAAAAACAAACATCAAATATTGTAATTTGATAAGCTGAATAATCTTTTTTGATGTGCTAGAACCTCAAAAAAGCAATTTAAAACAGTATATGTACTTGTCAAAAAGTGTAAATAAAATAAACTATGGAGAAAACGACTTAAAAAATCTTCTAGCTTCTTTTTTAAGAATCTTTGAAGAATAACCTCCACAGATTAACATTTTTTAAAAATTTTTTCCAGTGAAATATAACTGGCGAATGGGTTTGAAATTAGATAGCATTAAAATAATTCCCAAAAAAGTTGCCGAAAAATTCGCTAATGTTTATATTCTAAACTTGTCACACTGAAAAAGTCACGTGACTGAAGTGCCTACTGCTACTCAAGAAGGTGCTGCTGTGGAGGCAAAAAATAAAAAAAAAATAAAAAAAAGCCCGTAACTAGAAAAAAATTTAAAACTTTCTTTTGACAATCTGACAAGCTTTTTTTGCTACATTTATTTTTTTACTATAAATCTATGCTGCAGCTGTTTTTCAAAACGCCTCAATATGCTTATTACGTATTTTGAAAAAAACGCAATAAAAAAAAAAATAATAAATTAACTCTTTGTTAAATGTTTTTTGAAACGAACAATTTTAATAAATTTTTTCAGAACTCTTTGAAAATATGTATTCAATACCTTTTGTAGACATAGAAACTAGTTTACTTTGTAAAAAAGTCAAAAATGATATTTTTAACCTAAAGGCGTTTTGAGGTGCAGTGTAGTATATATATATATATATATATATATATATATATATATATATATATATATATATATATATATATATATATATATATATATATATATATATATATATATATATATATATATATATATATATATATATATATATATATATATATATATATATATATATATATATATATATATATATATATATATATATATATATATATATATATATATAATTTAAAAGCTCTTATAACAAAAGCCACTAAACCAAAAAAATTAAAAATAATTGCTTAAAAATTTTATTATAGTGTGTTGGTTTTTGCAATATAAATCATTTTTTATTTTTAATATAAACTAATTTTTTTTTAAACTTTGTTGCACTTAACCATCTCTACATAAACAATGTATATATAAACATATATGCTACTTGTTTAAATATGTTTATAAAATGTAAAAAATCCACTTATAATGTTTTATTCAGGATGATATGTAATATAAGTAAACTTTTCTAATAATTACAAGTCTTTTTTGCTCAAGCTGTTTTGTTTCAATTTTTTGTAGTTGTGTTATTATATTTAAAAAAATTGACAAGGTTAAATAACACGAAACATATCCGAGTGGAAAATTTGAAACTTCAACTTTAGATTTGCTCATCTCTAAATAATTTCTGATTTCTAAAGGTATGTTATCTGCTTCTTAGACCTTTAAAAATGATAGTCATAGAAGTAAGATTTTATTTGAATTTTTTATAACAACTCTATCTATTAAAGATATATGGAATACATTTTTATGGGATATATTCTAATAAAGATAAAAGGGGCCATCCATAAAAAACGTCATCCAAATAAGGGGTTCGAGATAAAAAAGACAAAAAAGAACAAGGGGAGGGGGAAGTTTGTCAGAAAAGGATGTCACTTTACAGATATTTTATTTTAGTTTAGTTTACATAAAAATCTATGTAAATATGTGTTTTTAAGAAGATAATGAATGAGAATATTTTTAATTTTATTTTTCAAAGGTGTAGCAGCAGATTCAAACATCATTGCGAGATGAAATAATTTTTTGGGCGGTTTAAATTGGGGGAGGGGGGACAGAATCTATGACATCCTTTTCAAGTAGGTTTAGGGAACAAAAGACAACCGGTGACAAAGTGGGAGGAGGGGGTCAAAAATTGGCTAAAAAATGATGACGCCCTTTATGGATGGCCCCAAAACTATTCATTTATTACTATTGTAATAAACACATTCTCTTACCCATAAAAATGATATATCTGTACCAGTTTTATATATTTTAATGCATTTGTATGCAAACATAATAAAAATTAATAAAAAAAAAAAGTAAGATAAATGCAAAAGGAAACTTGACGCATACAGGTTTATTTTGCCACAAACTGACGTCAATGCCCAAAATAATTTTGGCTTAATTTTTAGATAATTATCTAAAAGCGTTTAATATTATTCTTTTAGTTCTTAAGCATAAAAATTAATTTTTTTTATAACTTTGGTTTAGTGCTTTTAGATCTTCTTAATTTCATTTGTATAGCGTTACGTACAAATTTATGTAAGTGTAAACGATTTATGAATTTGAAGGCATTTTATGGAATAATCACGTATATCTATATATCTATAAAATGAGAAAACTTGAAAATTTTATTTTATATTTTAGAAATCTTTTTTTCTATATTCTTTTTTTTGCTATGAGTATATAAGCAAGATTGAAAATTGCGCTATCAACGAAATGCTTTTAAAAGAAAAACAAACCTAATTATAAGCCTCTTATAACCTCTACGTATGCAAAAAAGGTGCGCATGTTAAGTTTTTTGCTCTTAAATTATTTTTCCAGAATAAATTATATTACTAAAAAATATTGTAAATATTTTTTAGTAATATAATTTTTAGTAAATTAAGAATAGGAATATTTTACTAAAAAATATTGAAGTAAATAATTTGTTCGTATATATTAAGTATTCTCATTTCCATAAAAATTATTTTAAAGTGAGAAAAATCTGCAAAATTATTTAAATGGAGCATGTTTCTGACAACATTAGAGACGTTGAAGCTTATATTTACCTGAGCAATCGTAGGCAGTAATTGCATAATTTATATAACTGTAAACAAACAAGTAATAAAGTTGCATTAAACTTATTTAAGTG